GAAAAACTCATACCCATCTTTATTTTCATTTTTCCATGTGGTGATCTCTGCTGTTCTAATTGAGCTCGAGCTCACTCTCACCTGTCCCCTTTCCTATTGTGCAAGCAATGCTTCTGTGCACACACTTTTGAACAGTTTATCCTGGGGCACCTGGGCAGATCTGAGTTAGATTTCAGAAGTGGAATCACCATTGTAGAGGATGGCATTATATTTATGTACAGGTAATTGGGGGGTGTGATTGAGAGGTGCGTTCAAATTGCAATTACAATTTCCATAAGAGTTTATTGGGTCCAGGAGGTTTCAGAGTTGATTCTTATGGGTTTTCCAGATTACCTGTCATATCCTCTGCAGATAGCCAGATCAGGGAGGGACCTTGAACTCAGGCGTGGGTGGGATGGCAGAGGAGGGAAGGAAAGGCTGGGTTCAGCCTCCAGGCAAAGGTGTTAAGGCTGCCCATACCCCTCAGCAGGCAGCCCAGTCTGTGAGGGCCTCGGCAGTCGGCAGTCTCTTTTGTTTATTTTGTTTTAACTCTGAATTTATTTTTTTGAATAGGTAATACATGCTCATGGTAAAAAATAAAAATAAAAACTAAAAACAAAAGGAGACTATACAATGAAAAAGTAAGTTCCTCTCCCTTTGCTGGCCCCCAGTCCCTTTCCCCAGAGGCAATCACATCAGTCATCATTAATAGCTTCTTAAAATCCCTCTAGGAACTGTCTGTGTAAACACTTCTGTTTTCATAGTTTATTAGAATGTTATAAACATCGTTATCATCTCATACCCATTTATTCAGAGATGCCTTGTTATTTTAAGAGGTTTCATAATAATTCACTGTATAAATAGACCATATCTGTTAGCAACACTTCAATGAACATATTCTTGCACATGTGTCATTACGTATCTCTGGGATAAATTCATTGAAGTACAGTTTATGGGACAGGATATGTGCACTTTCAGTTGTGGCAAAGTCAGTCACCACAGCAGTGTATGAGTATGTGTGTCTCTTTACCTGCACATGGATGTACACGGTCCATCTGTGATCACCCTGTTCCTAAGCCACCATACAATGCCCCCCCACACTTTTTTTTTTTTTTAAACTCTCAAATGAGTTTTCTCTGCATTGTAGGAAAATGTGGCTAAGGTTTTTTTATTTATTCTTTTAAAGGTTTTCCTTTAAAATAATCTTTCATTGTCCAGGCTCTTATTCACAGAGGCTCTTCTGTTGGCCTGGGCAGAACACCTTGAGATGTTGACTGGTCCTCTCTGTACCCTGCTCTTGGCCTTCTCAAGGAAACTGTGACAGCGTGGTGGTGCATAGTCTGCCGCCCTCCTGCCACAAGGCACTCGCCGGCATCCAGGCAGCTGCACTGCTGCTGAGCAAGAAGCCTCCTCTCTCGTCTGTGCTCTGGAGGCGTCTCATAATGTGGCAAATGCTTTGTTCATGGAAAGTTTTTTGGAATGCCAGGCATGGTGGTGCAGGCCTGTCATCCCGGCAGCTTGGGAGGCTGGGGCAGGAGGATCAAAAGTTTGGGGCCAGCCTCAGCAATTTAGCAAAGCCCTAAGCAACTTAGTGAGACCTGTCTCAAAAAACAAAAAGAACTGAGGATGTGGTTAAGTGCCCCTGGGTTCAATCCCTGGTACCAAAAAAGAAAATTTATTTGGGACGTTGCTCTTAAATAATTTCAACTTTTTAGATTTCTTCTCTTGTGGTCATATTTTCCTCTTCCTGAGTAAGGTTTGATTATTTATATTTCATTTTAAAATGATGATTTCCTATTGAACTTTAAAGCCTATAGTTCTTATAGGTGTTTTTCACCAGGGCTTCATGCTGCAGACACCTGCCCTGGGGGGAGCTTCCTAATGCAGAAGTGCATGTGTAGATCACAGGGAGGGAAGGCCGCCTCCCTCTCTCATGGACCCCTTGGTGTCTGTGCAGCTCTCTGGCAGCAGTGTCGGGCTCTTCTCTGCCGACATGAGGGAGTCAGGTGTGCCTTCCTTAGTGCTGTCTTTGTCTTGGGCTTAGAAACTCTAGTTTCATAAAGACAATTGGCACTTTTCTGCTCCTCATCTCCGGCTTGATTTACGTGGCATGGGAATGGCCTTTTCCTGAAGACATGTAGGGCCTCACCCCAGCACTGTACAAGTCCCCAGCCATTGGGGATCGACTTCTCTAACACTCCTTTCAGACTCTTCATGTTCTCTTAGTCCATGTATCTCTTTCTTTAAAATGTCTGCAGGTACCTTCGTTTTGACTCAGTTCCTGTGGATAGCTGCTTGGTCTGACGTTCCAGAAAGGATCCTGTTTCCTGACAGGTGACTGCATACTCAAGGGCGTCTTGTCACCCAGGAGTGGAGGCCCATGTCATCTAGTGCACCAGAGTGTCCTCTGAGTCTTGGGTGCCACAGAGCAGGCTTGGGTCCTCTGCCCTTGCCTTTCTTCCTTCCAGGCAGAGGACTCTGCTCACAGCTGGTCCTGGGTGATATTGGCCAACCCCTCATGTTACAGATGCCACACCAGCTCTCAGGAGCCCAGACGCAGGCCTGTTCCCTTTGCTTACCTAGCAGGTGTTACCTGTGATTCTCTCTGTATCTTGATGCTCCTGAAAGAGGGCAGGGAAGGAGTAGCCATGTTGCCAGGCTCTCCAGGACTGGGGCCCATATGCAGTGGGTGGTGCCCTGTGTGCCCCCATAAGATGCTAATACCAAAGGATAAGAATGGGGGTTTGTGGAGGAGGAAGGGAGCCCGTCACTGTGAGGGAGAGGCACAAGTTCACTGAGGTCAGCACAGATTTCCAAGTGACAGAGTCTGGTTCGAGACTGAATAATTGAAACATTCTCAGTTTTCCTTTAGACCTTTTTTTTAAATTTTATTGAGATATGATATTTGTACATCTTTATTGGGTGCTAGTTCTTTTTTTTATTTTTAATTGAAAAACATTTTTAAGCTTTATTTACTTTCTTTTCAAAACAAAGGTAGAGTAGAGCCTTTTTGCTGCAGATGGTCTTGTGCTTCTCTGGAAGTAAAGCTGGAAGCCCAAAACTCTCAGGTGTTGTGCAGGCCCCCCAACCTCTTGATGCTGCTGCACTTCCTTGCCCCAGTGGTGCTGGCCAGAAATAAAGGGCTACATAACGAAACTTACGTGGCAGCAGAAAATGACTTGAGTAAAATAAAGTGCAAAGTCTTACTCAATTATGTTACGAAAGAAAGATTGAAAAACCAACATTTACATCCAGCCTAAAAAGTTTAAAAATCCAAGAGGGGCAGAAAATAAAGACAAGCAAATAATTGAATTAAGTAAGAGACAAGAGGGTCATCCAGATAGGAAGCTGGATCCTTGGGGACAAACTAGGCCTTGGACCAGTTAGATGGAGACAAGGAGCTGTCTGCTGCCTGGGCCTTGTCTGGGGTCTCCCACATCTAACCCCACTTCCCCCGGGTGCCAGGCTCTGTGGCAGGAAAGCCCCTGCACACCACCAGGGTGACTCGCGTGTGTGAGTGATACGGCGTGGGTGACACGTGTGAGCCCGGAGGTGAGTGGGACGGGGCCACTGAGGCCTGGTGGCTTCCCAGCATGCTCTTCTGGAAATAGTGGCACAGAAGTCCACCCAGGATGTCCCCCCCCCCCGAAGACACTCACACCCTGCTGCTGCTGGTGTGTGTGAAGATTGTGTGTCTGCATCCAACACTGATTCTAAAGTGGAACTTCATATGTCATGTCCAGCACCCCGCTGCATCGTCAGCTCTGACCGGGCAGTGGCATGCACGGGGTGGGCTTGGCTTCCACCCCTCTTACTTGAGTTCTCACTTTACTGCTAGAAGACAGGCACACACACCAGAGAATACCTGAGATGATCCCAACCTGTGTGTGAGATACTTGATGGACAGAGGGCATGTCAGGGAAGATGTCTGAGGGAGTGGACTTGGCATGGGCTCAAGGGCTACATCTGGGGCCCGGTGGCCCCCAGAAGGGTGTTCACTGTGAGGGAAGGTGCCCTGGGGGACTTCCCTGGTGATGTGCCAGCCAGCCTCTTGCACTCCCTGCCCTGTGTGCAGCCAGGAGCCCTGGGCTGCCGCGGGGCGTGTCACCTGGAGTGCAGCGCCGCCAGGGCTGCTTCACGGGGCAGCACCGGTGCAGAGGCATTCGTTGCTCAGGGAAGGGAACCCAGTCATCCGCCACTACTTCACCTGCCGCAAGGACTTCGGCATTTGTGTGGTCCTCCATCTTTCACACGTGGTATCCTGAGTCAGTTGTGGTGTTAGGGGAAGAAATGCACAGACAAGGCGAGCTTGGCCCCCTTCTCCTGTCCCTCCTGGTCTGGATGGGACGCTGACCTCTTGTTCAGCCTGGACTGTGAGCAGTGCCCACAGGCTTTGCACTGGGCAGCTCAGCCTTCCAGGTGTCTCGGCTCACTTCAGCTTCACCTTCTGACAGGGTTGGGACCTGTTCCTCCATCCCACAGACCACACAGACTGCCTCCATCACATAACCCCGGTGACAGGGAGCCTCTCAGAAATAGGTCCTGCTCACCTGCTGAGCCGAGGCCGTTTTCTGTCTACAGGGACACTGCCCGTCCCGACACAGTGCTGGTGGAGGGGAACGCAGCCTCCTCGCACTGCCACCCACCCTGGGCTGCTGAGCTGTGGGCGTCCTCAGTGTCCACAGGTCCCTGGGACAACTGTCTCAGGCTGCCAGGTCTTTCCTGTTGACTTACACTTGGTTCCTCCAGTGAGAACCTGTTTAGAGAAACGCTGTATTCAAAGCACTTGATCAACACCAAACCTGAGAGTCCCGGGCCCTATCTGTGAGCTAGACAGTGACATGACTGGAGGCCTATGCTGTTCCAGGAGGAGGCCCAGCAGACTCTGAACGCCTTCATCGAGTTCTGGAACTTGCTGTGTGTGGAAAGCACAGGGCCTCACAGACTCAATCACAATCTGACCCCTCTGCTTCAATTGGTTGCAGCCAGAGACTCGCACCAGGGAGGCCATCAGCCCTAAGGAGTGCCAGCCTTGGGTACAAGAGAGGCCAGAGAACTGCCAGGCACTGCCCCTGTGCCAGAGCACTGCAGGGAGATGCACCAGCCCGACGGTGAGGACCCTTAAGGGGAGGCTGGTGGGCATGACCAAGGGCTGCCGTGGCTCTGCCTGGGCCCACCTGTAGCCATCTGAGCTGTTCACTCTCTGTCTTGGGGCAGGGGTGAGGGGCCATCCTGTGCACGCTGGGATGAGCCTCATCCATGACCTCCTCCCACTGGGTGTGACCCCCAGATGTGTCTTCATGCTTAGCCCAGTGTCCCCTATGGGACAGACAGCCACTAGCTAAGCGCTGCCACTTGAGTCAGCAGAAGGAGGAGTGCCATTAGGCAGAGAGCCTGCAGGACCCACGCCTTGTGGCCTGGTACTCCAGGAAGAGCCTGTTGCCTGCTCTTCTCTGGAGTGAAGGAGGTGGGTGCAGCCATATTCACCACGAGGTCTTCAAGTGGCAGAAGTGGCTGGAAGCCACCGAGGGCTCTGAGCTACTCATGGGAGAGGGGCAGAGGGCTGGGGGCTGCTGCGAGAGCGCGGCCAGAGGTGACGGCTCGCTGAGCTGGCATCCGTGTCCTCTCAGACGACAGCAGCAGCGACATGACCAGTGACGATGAGATGAGCCCCAACAGAGGAGCCCCACCACCTAGACCAGGCCGCTCGTCCAGCAGTGAGTAGCCACCCACCAGTCCCAACACCCTGGGTTTGTCTGCCAGGGCTGCCCCCCTGCAGGCAGAGGCATTAAGGCCCCCAAGGAGATGGCCGGTGTGCCAGCCTGTGTGGTTGGCATCACTTGGGTCTGAGGAGAGGAAGGCGGTTGAGACATTTGATGTGACAGCAACAGCAGATGGTGTGAAATGTGGGGTTCTAACAACACTGAAGCACTTAAAGCTGTCTGGAGGCGGTGTGAGCAGTCCCAGCCTCCCTGGGGAGGTGTGCAGAAGGGAGCGCTGCTCTCAGGGAGGGCGTGGTCTTGGGTCTTGTTTCCTTGCAGCACAGCAGTGTGCACTTTTGAGTTCAGCTGGCCGGAGCAGACTGAGCACGTCTGTGGCCCATTTCCTAGGTTTGGACCTGACCACTGAGGAACGGGATTAGGAACACATCCCAGGGTCTGGGGGGAGCTGGCTCTGGTGAGCTTTGGGACTTGCTTTAAATGAGCCATACTTGGGCAGACTTCAGAGCCCATGTTGCAGGTATTGGGTGGGGACCACGCTAGGGTCCTAAGCCCTCCATATAGGGCCATCTGCTCAAGGGAGAGGCAAGGCATGTGTGCGTGTGTGTGTGTGTGTGTGTGAAGGGAGCACAGGTGTGTCCCAGCACTTCATGAGCTACCCCAACATCTGGCTGCCTAGGTGACCGGGAGCGGGAATGGGACCGGAGGGGCCGGAGCCGAGACACGGAGCTTCGAGACCGCTGGTTGTACACCAGGAGCCCTAGAAGCAGTAAGTCCCCTGGGGTCTGCACGCCAGTACCTGTGCCAGGGCCTCAGGAAGGCCATGCTGCTCGGTGTGGACTGTGTCTTGGTTCCTCCAAAGTTGAGTCCGGGCCCCCGTGTCTGAAGCTCCTCCGCAGTCTTTGCCTTATGTACCTATCTCCATCTCTGTCACTCTTTGCTCAGTATTTTTTTAAGCTGGCAGATGTTTTTAAAAAGCCAACAGTGTCTCCATAAAGACTGCTGGAAAGATTGGAAATAGGAAACACCTTAGATAGAAGGTGTGATCGTGAAAGACAGACATGCTGTAGCAGTGCAGCTGCCTGGCAAGCCTTCTGCGGCCTGGTGTAGGTGTGGGATGCTCCTCCATGTGCCAGGCCTGAGACCTCCTTGTGAGTTAGCAGAGCATTAGGAACTAACAGACATGCTGATGAACTGTTGGTGTCCATATCACCAGAAATCATCTCTTGTTCCTCACTGGCAGTAGGGCACCCTGAAATTGCCACCACGTGATTGACGTGATGTCTGGATGAGCCTGAAACATGGTAGCCCCAGCTGAGGAGACTGACAGGGCTGTGGGTGTGTGGTGGGTGTCCTGCCCAGACCAGGCAGCTTGAGGCCTGACCTCCGCTGCCTGAGACAAGGGACAGAAGGATGAGGCTGCTGTGTTGTGGCAGTCGAGGGGCATTGCCATAGGAGGCAGAGAAGAGACAGACACTGGCACACACACCAGGTGGGCTGGGAGCTCGGGGGCAGACCTGAGTTCCGCCAGGTGGGCTGGGCCTTGTTCCTTCCTGACGCGTTTTTCTTTCTAGGGCTGCCTCAGCGGGATCTTTCCCTTCCTGTGATGACGAAAAGAAGATTTGGAATTGAAAGAGATGACAGGGACTCGATGGATTATGAGTCCCGCTCCCAGGTACGCTCAGTGTTCCTCTTTCCAGAAAAGTGTCTTCATTTCATAGCAGAAATGCCTTTCTTACCCCAGATAACGTGCTAATCTGCCCCCTAGAGCCCACTTACAGCCAGGAGCCCCCAATTACTCCCCAAGGCACCTGGATCTGTCCCAATGCAGGACAAGTGACTGAGGTCACTGCTACCTGTTTCCTCATTCACCCATATGGTCCCAGGAGCCTTTGCCCTCAGTGAGTGTGTGCCACTTGATAGGTTGGTCACTGAGGCCCCTCCCTGTGGCCGGAGAGCAGAGTGATTCTGTAGGAAGGCCGGGCCAGAAAGCTGTGCCTCTGCAGAGCACAGGCAGCGCAAGCCGTGGCTCTGGAGCTGATGAGAACAGAGTTCAAAGATGGCCCTGCCACCTGCCAGCCGTGTGGTCCTGGGCTGTTGACTCAGCTAAGCTGAACCTCAGTTTCCTCACCTGTAAAGTGGATGTGGTGGCTGTCTCCTAGCACCCTGGTGTGGAGTCAGGTGATGCACCTGCGTGTGCCATGCACCTTGTGCCCCTGGCTCCTGGCTGTGTGCTGTACTGACTGCTGTGGTGGTCACTGGCTCAAGGCGCTGTTTGCAAGGGTAGGAGAAGGGACCTGGGTGTGAGCTGGCCCTGAGGAAGGGGTCCGACAGAGAGGAGAGACAGCAGCTGAGCCTTCATCCCTTCATAGCTAGGCCTCCCAGCAGACTGGAGGCCTCGGCCCTGGGCAGCACAGCAGCCACTGAGACACAGGTCCTGCCCTGACAGGCCTTTGACAGTCCCACAGATACACTTGCTTACACACGTTGTGTAACCGCAGAGTGCAGCAGCCTAGCACTGACTGGCGCCCACTGAACGCAGTGAAACTGCAGCAGCAGGTGACCCAGATGGACTTTTAGGGTATACAACACAGAAGATTCTCTCAGGACCTTTTAATACCAGGTGTACTCCTTCAGTTGTCCCCTGTACAGGTCCTGTTGTGAAGACAGCATTGTGCTGTGCCAGCGTTATGCCAGCACCTCTCCTCCAGGGGACGTGACCACAGCTTGTGTGCATTTAGACACCATTGTTGGTCACAGCACAAAGTGAACAGCTGCTTGAGGGCCTGCCACTGTGCTGATGACTTAATCCCAAGTCAGAGCATCCTTTTTTTTTTTTTTTTCATCGAAGCAGTGCGGTTGAGAATTTAATACACATTTATTTTATCCAAATTAGGCAGATAGAAAAATATAAAAAATAGTCTATCCTCATGGCTCTGGGCTCTGCCTTCCCCAGGATGGGGACCCTTGGCCTCTCACTTTTCTCTCTGACAGACTCCATTTGTGTGGTCTGTTTCCTCTCTGTCACTAAAACACATCTGTGGGCCCCTTGCTCTTCCTTTTGCAGGAAGAGTGAGTGCAGCAGCACCTCTGCCAGGCTGAAGGTGCAGACCTGTGCCCGTGAGCTTTCTGCAGGAGACCCCAGAAGGGCGGTGTCAAAGGCAGACTCTGCTCTGCAGAGGCGGCTGTATCAGTGTTGCAAGGTCTCCTGGGTTTTTGTGGCTTGTTTATTGTCCTGGAAACCTTAAGCCCCAACTTGAGGTTTGGTCATGAAGTCTGCTTCGCAGCCTTGCCCTGCCTAGTTTTCCTTATTGTCGTGCTTGCTTTCTAACAGACACTGGTTGTCACTTAGGTGAGGCTCCCCCTCAGAGCCAGATCCTGTGCCCTGCTCTCAGTAGGAGGTGCACCTTGCTCTGCAAACCTCATCTTTTTGGGCCACTTTTCCCATGTTTCTATAACATCCAATGTCTCTTCCCAGCAATAGAACTACAGTAAATTTATTATCAAAACTTCTTTATTTTCTTTACATACTTTTTCTTTATTCAGACAACACATTACATTTCAGAAGATCCTCACCCCCAGTGTTGTAAGAAAAATAGATGCTCTTCTCCCAGTTTTACACTGAAGAACCTGAGGGTCAGGAATTGAGTGTCCAAGGTTGCCAACTCATGCAGGGTACAGGCCTCCTTTGACCCAACAGTTCTCTCCAGCTCCAAAGCCTGTGGACTTCCCACAGCACCGTCTTCCTCTTAAATCTCTGCAGGTCTCAGTGCCATCCTCCCTCTGGCAACTAGCAGAGGTCCCTAGGATCCTGCAGAGAAGGTTCTCCTGAGTACTGTAGGGATTTAAAATTTTTAGGGTAATAGCTACTAAAACAAAGAGGATAGGACCTTAGTGCTTGTGGGTGTTGCTGGGTCATGTGGAAATCCTGCACACAAGAACCCTGTGTTGTAGCCATAACCTGCAGTGGAGGAATTGGGAGGGAAGTTTAAATCGCACTTTCATCATGACCAGATGTCTGCTTGAAAGCGTCTTCCTTCTGCTCCCAGAGTACACATGCAGGTTTGCTGTTTAGCCTGTTGGGCTTTCCCACCAGTCCCCCTCTGCACATGCTGTACTGTCACACACCACTGAAGGCCCCCTGTGAGGACCTCTGCTCACTGTTCAGGCCTGCCCTGAACTTTCCCTCCACAAAGTCTACTTAGCATTTATTATCTGTACCCCAATTTACTGTTTATTGTTCTCTAATTGTTTCATGAGTCTTTTCTTTCCAACCAAATTATAAGCTGCATGAGGGCAAGGAATATGTGTCATGCGTCTTTGGGATCTGCCTCAGAGTGTAGCACCAAGGTAGGTACGATGTAGGCCCCTAGTAACGCTTGACTTGGATCACTCAGAACCCCCAATACTGTGAGCACTTCCTGTATAACTTCATATATGTAGCTCCCATGTCGCCAGCATTATTCTCTTTTGGGACATCCATGCGGATAGACCCCATTGAGAGGTCTGTGCTTGTTCTTTTAGGATGCGGAATCATACCAGAATGTCGTGAACCTCAACCAGGACAGGAAACCTCAGAACCCAGTCCAGGACAACATGGAGAACTACAGGAAGTTGCTCTCTCTGGGTAAGGAGCTGCTTCTCTCACTCTCAGTCTGGTCATTGGGCCACTTTGTCACTATGGTTGTTTCAAGTTGCAGGATGAGTCCACGCTAACATAGTTGGACTTCAAGGGTAATAAGAAGCCTTTGAAAATTTTCAGGCAAGAGATTTTTAAATGCCTTTTAAAGAAATCTCTTGACTTTGGTTGAAGAATAGCTTGTACAGGTAGTTGTGATCAAGGAGATGGCTCTTGACACAAAGTTAATATTTTTTTCTAGAATAAATGACAGCAGAGATTTTTAAAAACACATTTAGAATGGGTCTTGAGTTTCTGCGTGAACTCCACCCGAAGAACATCTAGCCCCAGTTGGTAGCAGACAGTTGCTGGTATAGGCCTGATGTTAGACAGCAGGTAGGGAAGGACTATCAAAAAGGAGGAGGAAGGGGGCTGGGCTGGGGCTCAGTGGCAGAGTGCCTGCCTAGCATGCCTGAGGCACTGGACTCGATCCTCAGCACCACATAAAAATAAAAGACAAAATAAAGGCATTCTGTCCATCTACAACTACAAAAAAACAAACAAAAAAAGGAGCAAGGGCTGGGGATGTGGCTCTGTTGGTAGGGTGCTTGCCTCGCATGCACAAGGCCCTGGGTTCAATCCCCAGTACCACAAAAAATGAGGAGGAGGACCGGCCATGAAGGGCAGTGAAAGAGTGACAAGAATTGAAGACTATAAGAGGTGCACCAAGTTCCCAGGCACATGAAGTCTTTTACACATTTTTGGGTGTCATTAAGAGAATTAAAATGCAGAATGGAATACGTTAGGGAATGGATGGTAGGAAAATGCGTCAGTAAATGAAAGATAGTCAAATAATTAGAAATGAGCTACTTTATATTTAGTAGCTCAGAGAAAATGAAAATCAGTTTATGGTGATGAGTCTTATTCCCCAACTCCAATTTGAGCTGTTGCACTCTTGTGACCAGGGGTACAACTTGCTGAAGATGACCGCCATTCCCACATGACCCAAGGCCACTCATCAAGGTCCAGGAGAAGTGTCTACCCAAGCACCAGCCGAGGTAAGCCCCAGGCTGATCTACAGAGGAGCCACCTAGCCATGAGACACATTCCCAGGCGTCGCAGCAGAGTGCTGTCCTCCAGCTCCTGTGGTCACCTTGTGCAAGTACATGGGCTAGGGAGTATTTATGTTTGGGGTTTATTTCCAGGTCTGAAAACCATGCCTGAAGCCAAGAAGCCCTCTCACCGGCGCGGAATTTGTGAGGACGAATCTTGCCATGGAGTGATAATGGAGAAGTTCATCAAGGATGTGTCACGTGGCCCCAGATCAGGAAGAGCAAGGGAGCCGGAGGATCGGCCACAGAGGCTCCCCAGAATGCCAGATGATACCTGGAAGGACGCTGCCTTCAGCAGGAGGGAGTCAGTGATCCAGGAGAGGGGTTCTGAAGGGAGTGCCTTCAGGGGGGGCTTCAGGTTCAACTCAAGCCTTGTTTCCAGAAAGAGAGTTCTGGAAAGAAAAAGGCGCTATCATTTTGACACAGTCCATGATCATAATGGCTGTGCCAGAAAGAAGCCCTTTGACTGTGGCAGTGAGATGAGAAAGGCCATGAGCATGAGTAGCCTAAGTGGCCTCGGCTCCTCCTCCTATTCCGAGTCACAGTCAGTGGACTTTGGGTCCATGGCGTATGTGTGTGATGAGTGTGGGCGGTCATTCAGTGTCATCTCAGAGTTTGTCGAGCACCAGATCATGCACACCAGAGAGAACCTCTATGAGTATGGGGAGTCCTTCATTCACAGTGTGGCAGTCAGTGAGGTTCAGAAAGGTCAGGTTGGAGGGAAACGCTTCGAGTGTAAGGAGTGTGGGGAAACCTTCAATAAGAGTGCTGCGCTGGCTGAGCATCGGAAGATCCATGCTAGAGAGTGCCGTGCAGAGCGCAGGGAGCAGGAGCACGAGGAGACCGTCATGCCTAGCCCAACCTTCAGTGAGCTTCAGAAGATATATGGCAAAGACAAATTCTATGAGTGCAGGGTTTGTAAGGAAACCTTCCTTCATAGTTCCGCCCTGATTGAGCACCAGAAGATCCACAACAGAGGGAAGTTTGGAGAAGACAGAGATAATGAGCGTGAGCCTGAGCGTGAACATCGGGAAACTTTCATGCCCAACGCAGCCCTGAAGGAATTTCAGAAAATGTATGATAAGGAGAGGATCTATGAGTGTAAGGTTTGTGGGGAGACCTTCCTTCATAGCTCATCCCTGAAGGAACATCAGAAAGTCCACACCAGAGGAAACCCATTTGAAAACAGAAGCAAAGTGTGTGAGGAAACCTTTATTCCTGGTCAGTCCCTTAAAAGGCGTCAGAAGACTTACACCAAGGAGAAGCTCTTTGCCTTCACAGATGGCAGGGATGCCTTCATGCAAAGCTCCGATCTCAGCGAGCGTCAGAAAATCCATGCTCGGAAGAACTTCTTTGAAAGCAGGGCATACGAGAAATCTGTCATTCACAGCACGCCCTTCACCGAGTCTCAGAAGAGTCACACTATAACAAGACCCCCTGAAGATGAGGAGGATGAGAAGGCGTTCACCATCAGCAGCAACCCTGATGAAGACCAGCGGGTGTCCACCACAGGGCGATTCTACAAGAGTTCTGTGATCCACAGCTTTACCCCTGCTGAGACTCTGAGAAGTCACAGTGTAGCAGGGCCCAGTCAACTAAAAGCAGTCGCAGAGTCCACCATTCAGAGCTCAGCTGCCGCTAGGAGCGCCTGTGAAGGGAAGGAGCACAAGAGGTCTGTCATCCATAGCCTGGCTGCTCCCAGACCCCTGAAACGTCACAGTGGAAATGGGCAAAATGAATGTGATGAGAAGGGAGAATCCTCCATTTATATCTCAGATCTTAATAATAAGCGACGGAAGATTGCTGCCAGAGAGAACCCTTCTGAAGCGGGTAAGAATAACAACTATAAGGATTCTGTTATGCCGAGTGTATCTCATGCTGAACCTCAAAGAAGTCTCGCTGGAGAGGGATCCAGTGAATTCAAGCAAGATGCCAAATTTTCTCTTCCCAGCTCAAATGTCCGTGAACACCAGAAGGCGCGTGCTAAAAAGAAGTACATCGAACACAGGGGCAACGAGACCTCTGTAATCCATTCCCTACATTTTGGTGAACTGCAAACAGTTCGCCCTAGAGAGAAGCTGTATGAATGTCAGGAATGTGGGGAGTGCTTTGCTCGTAGCTCTGACCTCACTGAGCACCAGAAGATTCACAATAGAGAGAAGCCCTCTGGAAGTAGAATTTATGAGCGATCTGTCATTCGCAGCTTGGCCCCTACTGACCCTCAGACGAGTTATGCCCAAGAGCGCTATGCTGAAGAGCAAGCACGCTACAAACGTAGAGAGTCAGGGCAGAGCTCTGCTTTCAGCAGCTTCTTCCGTGCACGTCAGAACATCTACACCCAAGAAAAGTCCTCTGGCAAGGCCACCCGAGGTCAGGAGCCCCACAGCAGAGAGACCCGTGCGCGGGAGCCCCACAGAGAGGACACTCATGCTTGGGGGCCCCGTGGCAAGAAGACCCGTGCTCAGGAGCCCCATGGAGAGGACACTTGTGCTTGGAAGCCCCATGGCGAGGAGACCCATGCTCAGGAGCCCCACAGAGAGGAAACTCCTGCCCAGGAGCCCTATGGCAAGGAGATCTGTGCTCAGAAGCCCCATGGAGAAGAAACTCCTGCTCAGAAGCCCCACAGAGAGGAAACTCCTGCCCAGGAGCCCCAGGGTGAAGAGACCCGTGGTCAAGAGCCCCCTGGAGAGGAAACTCATCATCAGGAGACCCAGAGTCAGGAGCCCCACAGTGAGGAGACCCATGGTCAGAAGCCCCATGGCAAGGAGCCCCGTGGCCAGGAGCCCCGTGGCCAGGAGCCCTGTGGTCAGGAGCCCCGTGGCGAAGAGCCCCGTGGTCAGGAGCCCCATGGTGAGGAGCCGCATGGTGTAGAAGCCCATGGTGAGGAGACCCACCATCAGGAGATGGTTGAAGACACTGTCATTCAGGGGTCAGATCTGGAGGAGCCCCAGAAGGATGACCCAAATGACACAATCTATGAATGTCAGGACTGTGGGCTGGGATTTGCGGATCTCACAGATCTCACAGGTCATCAGGATGTCCACATCAGAAAGAGTGTTGACAGTAGCAAAGACACAGAGTCTCAAGTTCACGTCCATTCCATCAATGAGTTTTCGAAGGAGTTCACTGGTGAGCAGCTCTTTGAATGCCCAAAATGTGGGGAATCTTTTATTCATAGCTCCTTCCTTTTTGAGCATCAGAGAGTCCATGAGCAAGACCAGCTGTACTCCATGAAGGGATGTGATGATGGTTTTATTTCCCTCTTGCCTGTGAAGCCACGGAGGAATCGTGCTGCGGAGAGGAATCCTGCTCTTGCTGGGTCGGCCATTCGATGCCTTCAGTGTGGACAGGGCTTCATTCATAGCTCTGCTCTCAATGAGCACATGAGACACCACAGGGAGGATGAATTACTGGAGCAGAGCGAGATGGCTGAGGAAGTCCTCATTCATGGCTTCGCCCTCACCGAGTTCCAGGGAAGTGAGACCGAGGAGAAGCTCTTTGAATGCACAATATGTGGAGAGTGCTTCTTCACTGCAAAAGAACTTGGCGATCACCACACCAAGGTCCACAAGGATGAGCCCTATGAATATGGGCCCTCCTACACTCACACTTCATTCCTTGCAGAGCCCTTCAGGAAACCAATGCCATTCTACGAGTGCAAAGACTGTGGGCAGGCCTTTATCCACGACACGGTCCTAACCAAGCACACGGTGTTTCACCCTGAGGAAGAGGAGGAGGAAGAGGAGGAGGAGGAAGAGGAGGAAGAAGAAGCTGCTGCTGCCCAGGAAGTTGAAGCCAATGTCCTCGTTCCACAAGAAATCCTGCGAATTCAGGGGTCAAACATAGAAGCTGCTGAGCCAGAGGTGGAGGCTGCCGAGCCCGAGGTGGAGGCTGCCGAGCCCGAGGTAGAGGCTGCCGAGCCAAATGGAGAGGCCGAAGGGCCAGGAGGAGAGGCCGCAGAGCCCCACGGAGAAGCCGAGCAGCCAATTGTGGATGCAGATGAGCCAGATGGTGTAGGGATTGAAGACCCGGAGGAGGGAGCCCAAGGGCCAGAAGGAGATGCCGACGGGCCTGAGGGCCTAGGAGTGGGAGATCCGGAAGAGGAGGGTGAAGACGAGGAGATTGAGGTGGAAGAGCCCTATGATGGCTACAAGGAGTGCACAGAGACCTTCCCGTGCAGCGCAGCCTTGGGTGGGCCCCTGAAGGCCCAGGCCAGCATGGTCATGCTGGAGCCCGCGGGCGCCCCCGGGGAGTGCTCAGGCTACATCCAGCGTGCCAGCACCAGCACTGGAGGCACCCAGCCAGCCGACGAGAAGCACTTCAGATGTGATGTCTGTGGGCAGCTCTTCAGTGACCGCCTGTCCCTTGCCAGGCACCAGAACAGCCACACTGGCTAAGTGTAAAGGTTGGAAAACCTCCACCTAGAACTGGACCCTTACCCAACACAAGACTATGATAATGTCAGTAGGAAACTTACCTTAGCATGTGCACACCTGACTTAACATGAGACAGCTCAGATTAGCCAGACAGCGTGGATACTCCTTCAGCCTTAGCTCTCCCCGTGAGCATCAGCGTCTGCACGGGGAAAGCTATAGCACATATCTTACGTCTATCCCAGCTACCAGATTGAGTCAACCCGACAGATTGGCCCAATCATCTGTAAATGATGCTCCTATAACCTAAACAGAAGGTTCCCTGCAGTGTATATAAATGAGCAGAACGTAGCAAAATGGGGATCACGTGTTTGGGTTTAATATGATACACAGTTGCAGTTTACTGTGCAGAGGTATCTCACCTGACACTCTAATTTTTTGTTCTTGGAGGAGGGAGAGAGCAACAAAGTAGAATATATCTGTAAGTGTCTTTGGTCTCAGAAAGATTCCTTGTGCATTATTTGAACCCCGTCAGTATCTTTGACTGCTACGTTTCTAATCTCGTGAAGGTGTAGACAGGAAAAGTAACATGACTTTATTCTTTGCTGTTTGAAAAAAGGGGTGATTTTCGCTTCCTTGTACAGCCATTTCGTCTGCACCAACACCTTGCGACCTGACGCTGTGTGAGCCTTTACAATTTATAGGTTGGCCTTTGTGACCCAGGTCAACCTGTCCCCTTTGTGTGTACCTTGCAGTGGTTCTCGTGCAAAAATATTACAATTTGGGTGTTTTTTTTAAAGTGTTTTTTTTAAACCAACATAATGTGTGTTCAGTAGTGAATTTAAAATGTGATGCTTTTCCCCATAAATCCTAAGTGTTTGCCTTTAAAGAATGGGTTGCAACCATCACTAGATCACAGTAGTGCCTAATGAAGGTTGAGAACCACAGGACAGACTCGCTGCTGTACATAAGGAAGCAGGCTGACAACCTTTCATCACTTCTTCTGAATGCTTCCTGCCTTAAGTGACAAGTAGCAACATGGCTTGAGTCACCTATGTGGCATGTGTGCTGCCACAAGTCAGTTTGCTCCCTGGGTGCCCAGGAGCTAGTATCCTTAGATCTTTCTATTGCTTAAACCTAATTCTCTTCTTTACCTGACTCTCTAATCCCATGTCTAACTTGCATTTTAAAAAAATTTAAAAGTGTTAAAAAAAAAAAAAAAAAAGCTTCCTTTACAGTTAGCCCAAGCTTAACACGGACTCAGGTTCCCCGGCAGCCTTAATCTGTTTTGTTTCCATCTGTTCTTCTCTTCAGGCCTTCTAGGCGCTTCTGACCTATCCATAGGTGTCGTGTCGTCCCATCTCGGTTTTCCTCTTGATCACACACTGACCTCAGCTTGAGGTCTCCCCTGTCCTGTGCTGTGGACATCCAGTGCTCCTTTGCTTCTCCCCTCGCATAATGGCTATATTAAGAAAATTTTTGGCCTTGAGTTGGCTGGAAAAAAAAAAAAAAAACTTTAAAATTTTTAAAAATTAAAAAAAAAAAAAGCGGATCTCTATTGAAGTAAGCAAAAGACAAGCGCAGATCATTTGAACAAGCAAAATTAAAATATCCACCGAGGGAAACGTATTTGAATCTTACTCTTTTAGATCCGCAGGTCTAGGGCTCCCGGGGAGTGTGTCCAAGCTGCAGGGAATGCCAAAGTCTAGGAGGCTGGAGAGCTGAGAGCAAGAAACAGAATTGAGTAAGCCAAAGAAGGGCATCCTAGCACACCCGCAGACCCAGGAGACAGAGGGAGCGCCAGAGCAGGGGTGAGGATGGGTGGGTGGTGTCCTGGAGGCAGAGTGTGGGAAGCTGCACAGAAAGACCCATAGTCGGAGCAGGCATCCAGGGAAACGCCCGTGAGGCATCCCCAGTGAGAGGGCCCTGGACTGGGATCAGTGTGGATGTCATCAGAGTGAATTTGGGGGTTCAGTGCCATAGGCGGTGTGAATCACTAGACCCTTTTCAGAAAGCAACTTGCCAAGAAGGGTGTCTGTTCCAACCTTACGTGTATGGGAAATTGGAAACTTAAATGCCAAACAGTAGACTAAGAATTAAGTGAACGTATCTTTGGACTCTTATGCAGCTGTTTAAAAATGATAATCATAAAGAGTTATGTAGCAACATGGAAATATATTTACGGAAGATTAAGTGGAGAAAGCAGGACACAAAATTATATTTATACTACAATTATAACTTTAAAATGTATGCTTATAGTCAAAAGCTGTTGTGTTGTTGTACGCTTATAGTTGAGCATCATTTTCTTAACTTTCTTGAATGTTCTTTATGGTAGTGCTGTTAAAGTTGATGATCACATTTCCATTGTGAACATAATTGGAATTCATCAAACACTTGGAAAAAACAAAGTGGAGGAAAAATTCCATATCCCCACCATCCAAAGACAGATTCACTCGAAAGCATCCTGTTTATTCTTGTTTCTTTACACAGGTTTATAATTATAACCATGTCAAAACGTGTGTTCAAGATAGCTGTATGGTACCCTTTTGGAATTATGGTTAAATCCTTTTATCTTAATTTTTCCAGTGTTCCTTATAATAGTGTCCTGATAACATTTATTGTGTATGTCTACATTATAAGCGTAACATATACCCAGAGGAGAAATTAGAAAACAGAGCAAAATTGGAAAATAAAAACGATTCACACACATCCCCAGCCCATGGACTCCGCCAGCATCTCGGTCCTTTCCTCCACGATGTTCCAGTGCACAGCCTGTGGGTGTAATGGTGTTCAATGTGTGTGCATCAAATCAAAAAGTGAAAAAAAATGTGAAAAATAATTAAATTAGTGTTGTCATTGTGGGATTCTGGCTACATATTTTGTCTAAAATTTCTTGAATAATCTTTGGTGTTTTGGTGACAAATTTAATGTATGTATTTTCCCTTTACAAATATAATACATACTCATAGAAAACTGGGAAGTTAGTAAAAGAGAAGGAAATTCACCTGTATTCCCAAGAATTGCTGCTGCTAACACGTGGGGCTGTGGTCTGGGGGCTCACGATACGTCCCCATGCGTGTCGGAGACGGGAAGACAGAGCGGCTGAGAGCTACAGGTGGTTGTGGGGTTACAGGGAAGCGTGCTGCCTCAGTTTCTCTGAGTGGCCTTTGTCGGTGGTCAGTAGTCCCCTTCACCCACTACGTTCCCATCACCCATGCAGTATGTGTCCACTATAGTAAACCTTGACATTGTGGAAATGTAGAAGAGAAACTCATCCATGTTTCCACCGTCCAACGACTGTGGTCAGCATCTTGATGTGTCTTCATCATCTTCTTTCTTGTGCACAGGTTTTCGATTTGTTGATATGGTTGTGATCGTTCTATCTGTAATAGTGTCAACAATAAAAATAAAGTTAAAAATAATCATTTCTCAGTCTCTTTTGTCCCTGTCAGGGGTTTGCTAAGGTGTGCTTTTTGCTGAAGTTATAAATTCAGACACTTTGTGCCTCATTTGGCTTGCAGATCTTATGTTTTTGGGTATTGGCTGATTCAATAATTACTTCCATGGGATTTTTTTTTTTCTGATACCAGGGATTAAACTTGGGGGCACTTAACCACGAGGATGCATCAGCCACGTCCTCAACCTATTCTGTTTGTTTGAAACAGGGTCTTGCTAAGTTGCTCCATAGGATCTTTTCATACTCCTTGATTCCATGTTTTCTTTAACTGCACTTATGTTCCAGTAATATTTTTAAATTTGAGAATAACCACAAATATTTCAGTCACTTGACTGGTCATTTGTAAATGGAAATTTGAGATTTGCTTGTTCACGAACCCTCAATGTAAAAATGCCAATATCGGGATTCAGAATCTGTGACACATCTATTCCTAATTCTTGCTAAAAGATGTTTATCCCTGGGGCAATCTTTCTTCAGTCCACAAACCACACTTTAACCCAGCTTCAACACCCATGCAACGCATCAGGTTACCCCGCAGGTAATTCAGGAGGAAATCTTTACACATGCACGTTATCCCATAATGACCAGAGATTTCCATTTGTGGCTGATGGGATCAGTGTTGGTGACCCACCTGATGGCTGCTGCGTCCCTGCTCCCATGACCCCACCCTCTCTGACGCCTCTGCACACACTGTGGTTGGGTTTTGCAGTAAAGATGTAAAAGGGTTTTTCTGGTGTAATTCTAACCACTCTGGCATTGGATAGGTCCTGATTTTTTTTCAGATTCTTAGAACTCAACTTTTATTCACACTAAAATGAAAGCCCGTTGAATTGTGGTCATCTCTTGTGGCATCTATTTGGTTCACAGCTTAGATGGTCATTCTGTGATCAGCCAAGGTGAGAGGGTCACCCTTTGCTGAAGCTTTTCCTGAAGAGTCTCTACAGCAGGTAGTAGGGAAGGCAGTGAAGTGGGCGCTGGCTGGAGTGGCCTGAGCAGCCCTCCTGCCCTCACAACCACACCCTGAAGGGGAGGATAACTGCCCTGTCGTCTCTGAGCGTATGCCCTGAGACTTGACTTCCCCTGGCCTTAGAGGATTGGGTTCATGGGTTCCCAGTGTCCAGTCAGACTCAAAAGGACTTGAGAGCTAACTGTGCAGTCCTATAGGTTAGGGCTGGGCATGCTGATGAGAAAACTGACCTGGAAAGAGAAAGCCACGTGGCCAGAGGGAGTCTTGGTTCCAGATGCCTCATCACAACAGTGCCTCATAGAGCCGGGCTGATGCCCTTCCCCTTCCATTACTGCGACACAACCTCTGGAGCAATTAACTTACAAAGCGAAAAGACTTAGTTCAGCTCCTGGCTCTGCAGGCTCCAGTCCAAGATCTAGTGGCCCCATCACTTTGGGCCTCTGGCAAGGGGGGCACATTACAGCAAGAGTATGTGGCAGAGTAAGCTACTCACTCCATGAGTCAAGAAGCAGAAGTGAGACCAAGAGGCCAGGGTCCCCATTAGGCCCCACTTTAAGGAGCCACCACCATAGCCTGGCAACACCACCCTGTAACTTGTGG